AGGCAACCAGTCAGTAGCACCATTTCACCCACCGCCCCTGGTATGAGACTGGCTGTCATTCTCATGATGCACCCACAACTTAAATTGCAGGAAATAGTATGTGATATCGCATGAATTCGAACCCAGAGTTTTACCACAGGTCCAACTCGCACCCACCAAAAAATCTTGAAATATAATTGGAGTTAATTAGCACATTTTATTGTGCTCTAAAATGAAAATGCGAATTAAATATTACGTGGCTAAATGATTAATATTATATTCAATTATTATAAAAGATATGAATATTTTAATAACCAACACTAACGATATATAAACTGTCATCACTACTTTGCTTTTAACTAACGAAATACTATAAGAAAATATTAACAAATAATTAAGGTGATTTTGTTTTTAGAGCATGCATATATAATTCAGTTTATGGTTTCAGAATACACACAAAAGAATTTGAAACATTCTTTGCCTTTGTTTTATTCGCCATTGTACTCCAATATTCCTTTGATGACGTAATTTATCATTCCATATCTATTATCCTTTATATACGTGCTTGAAAGTTTTTGTTGATAATTTGAATAGTCAGTATTAAAATGACATTAAAATTAAAACTTCGATAGAGAGATTAATCAAAGAGAAAGTAGTTACTTTTTCTGATTAAAAATTCCTCTGCGTTTGATCATGTCATCGGAGATACATGTTTGTTTCTATTTTATAGGTGCATATAGAATTCTATAGACCGTGAAAGAGTAACACAAGCATAAAGACAAAATTAAATCCAAAAGTAAAGTAATAAAGAACTTTCTGTAGGAATATGTTTTATTATCTAATAAATAATGTTTCAATTCATATGAAAAGATCATCGCCAGGTTATACTTCATTACAATTGAACAATGTCTACGTGATTCAAATTACAACAATATACATGCAGTGAAAAATTTACAAGCAGTTCTCACAGGTAGCGTTAAATTGATTTTTTTTTTTTTACGTTGAACATGATGAAGATTGTTAAACTGTTAAACATAAGAGTTTCTGGATATTTATTTAATGAATATTTTATATTTTTGATTAGCAGAGTTTTTACTTCTTCCCATCTCTTCAGGTCAGTTGCTCTACGTTTAATATTAACGTTTTTCTCAAATGTTTTGGTTCCTTCAAATGTTCTGTTACGCCTCCAGTCGTTAGTTAATTTTCCGTAAATTATTTCCGACTAAACTTTAGCGACACAAGTCCTTT